TTTTTGTCTACTTGACACAAGCTAGTATCATAAAACTGGCCTGTAGGCAAGCTGAGGGGGCATTTTCTTAATTAGTGGCGCATCCCACTATGGTGCCACCACTGAGCAGGTGGCCCAAGTTACACAAGAGAGCAGGCTGAGCTAGCCATGAGGAAGAAGCCAGTAAGCAGCACTCCTTCATGGCTTCTGCTTCAGTTCCTGCTTCTAGGGTTTGCCTTAACCTTCTTTGATGATGGACTTTGATGCGGAGGTATAATCTGAAATAAACATTTTCCTCCTCATGTTGCTTTTGGCTGTGGTGTTTTTACGCAGTGATAGAAAACCCCAACTAAGACAGATCCTGCCTCAAAACACAAAAGCGAGGGCCGGGGAGATGACTCATTTGGTAAAGTGCTTGCCATACAAAGCTTGAGGACCCGAGTTGAGATTCTCAGCACCAGTGTGAAAAGCTGGGCACTAGTGTGCAACTGTAATCCTAACAGTGGGAAGAAGTGAAAGTGACCCACGGGGGTCTGCTGGGCAGCTATTCCTGCTGAATCAGTAACCTCCAGATTTAAAAAGAAACTGTCTCAGAAAAGGAGGTAGTGATAAAGATACCCACTATCAGCCTCTAGCCTCTATATACACGTGCACAGTCATACTCGTGCACCTGTACACACACACACACACACAGGGCTGCAAGATGGTCCAGTGAGCAAAGGTACTTGTCACCAAGCCTGATGACCTAGAACCCACATGATAGAAGGTTCATCCTCTGACCCCAATGCTCACTCATGCACACACAAACTAAATAGTAAGCATACATGCATGCAGGCACATACACAATAAATAAATAAATAAACAAAAGAATTAAAACAAAATAAAAACCAAAATTATACATATGCTGTTGTTAAGATACTTGAAGCTCTCTCTCTCTCTCTCTCTCTCTCTCTCTCTCTCTTTCTCTCTCTCTCTTTATTTTTAGTTTTGAGATAGGATCTCATGTGATTAAGGCTGGTCTCCAACTTGCTATATGTAGGCTGAGGGTAACCTTGAACTTCTGATTTTCCTGCCTCTGCCTCCTGAGTGCTGAGATCAGAGCTTTGCACCCCCAGGCCTGGTTTATGCAGCTCTGGGGACTGAGTTTGGGCTTCACGAATGCTTAGTAAGCACTTCAGCAGCTGAGCCCTGTCTTTAGACAGCACACTCTTCTCTTCGGAGAACGCCTTCTCACCCTTGTCTTTCTCTTCTTCTTTCTCTATCTTTTTTTTTTTAGAATTCATCTAAATATATACATTTCACTGTTTTATTTATTTGTTTGTTTGTTTATTTATTTTTGGTTTTTCAAGACAGGGTTTCTCTGTGTAGCTTTGTGCCTTTCCTGGAACTCACTCTGTAGCCCAGGCTGGTCTTGAACTCACAGAGATCTGCCTGGCTCTGCCTCCCAAGTGCTGGGGTTAAAGGCATGCGCCACCACTGCCTGGCCTTTATCTATCTTTTAATTTGTGTGATTAAATCTTTATTACCTTAAGGGGGCTGGAGAGATAGCTCAGCTATTAAGAACACTGGCTGTAGCCAGAGGTGGTGGCACATGCTTTTAATCCCAGCGCTTGAGAGGCAGAGACAGGCAGATCTCTGTGAGTTCAAGGCCAGCCTGGTCTATAGAGTGAGTTCAGGACAGCTAGGGCTACACAGAGAAACTCTGTCGCAGAAATTAAAAAAAAAAAAAAAGAAAAGAAAAGAAAAAGAAAAAGAAAAAAAGAACACAGGCTGCTCTTCCAGGAGACCCAAATTCAATTCCCAGCACCCACTTGACAGCTAGCGACCTTGGGTAACTCCCGTCCCAGGGGAATTGATGTCTTCTTCTGGTCTCCATGGGCACAGTATACACATGGTTCACAGACATATATGCAGTCAAATACCTATACATGTAAGAGAAAATTAAACAAGGCTTTTAAAAAAAGATTTATTATTTTAAAATTTTATGTGTACATGTGTGGGTCTGAATACATCCGTGTGTATCACATGCATGCAAGTGCCCTTGAAGGCCGGAAAAGAGTATCAGATTCCCTGGAACTGGAGTTACAGAGGTTTTGTGATCCACCTGATGTGGGTGCTGGGAACCAAACCCAGGTCCTCTGCAAGAGCAGCAAGTGTTCTTAACCACTGAGCCATCTCTCCAGCCCCCTCCCCCATCTTCTTAATAAACTCCAACTTTGCTTCATACTAGCTTGTTCTGAAATTATTTTCTGCTGTGCAGTCAAGAATTCTAGCTTCAACTGGGCATCGTGGTGCACACCTTTGATCCCAGTGCATGAGAGGCAGAGGCAGATGGATCTCTGTGAGTTCAAGGTCAGCTCAGTCTATATAGTGAGTACCAGGGCAGCCAAGGCTCTAGGTAGATAGATTCTGTCTTTAAAAACAAAACAAAACAAAATAAACAAACAAAAAACAAGAAACAAGAAAACCCAGCTTCCCCTGATAAGAGGTCTTTGAAAAGAACTCGGGGTGCTCCAGGCAGCTGCCTAGAGCTGACTCTTGTTCCTTTCTGCTGATACTGATAGCAAATGAATATCCTTCCATCTCCGCCATGCAGGGGGCCTCACTGCTGAAATACTGAGAGCTGTAACTTCCTAGAATTATTTTGTATCTAGTTCTTCCAGTACTCAGGTACTTCCTTTCCGGCTTTCCTTTTGTTGTTGTTGCTGCTTTTATTTTTGATACAAAGTCTCACTTTGTAGCGGAGGTTGGCAAACTTACTATGTAGTCCAGACCGGCATTGAATTGGCATCTATCTTTGCTTCTAGGTCTTCAAGAGCTGGGATTGAGGCACGTACCCTACGGCTTGGCCTTCTGCTGCTCTGCAGGCTTAGGCTCTGAGCAAAGGCAACTGCTTCTGATTAAAGCATTCAGCAGAACTGGGCTTCCCAGACCAGGAAGAGGTCAGTGTTACCTGAGATCAGCCTCCTCCTTCCTGTCATACACCGCTGTTGGCCAGGAGGAAGTCACTGGGTATGGTGCTAATTTGTGTGTTGACAGAAACTGGAAACTTGCTCAGGGTGGCAGGGGAAAGAAAAGCATGCTTTTGGTTGGTCAGAAGGTTGTGAGTTATCTTAATTGTTCAGTCAGTTACAGGTTGAATTCCTGTTCTACGTGCTTGCCTCTTCTCACTGCTGGACTTGACTAGTCTTTTTAAGAAATTAGGGGTTGGGGATTTAGCTCAGTGGTAGAGCACTTGCCTAGCAAGTGCAAGGCCCTGGGTTCGGTCCTCAGCTCTAAAAAATAAAATAAAAATAAAAATAAAAATAAAAATAAAAAAGCATGCTTTCCTCTAAAGGAAACTATATATATATAGTTTTGTGAAAACTGAAGGCCAAAAGACCTTGGGAAAGGATACTGTTTAGGGAGCAAATAAGACAAAACCCAGAGAGATCCTTCTGTCCACACCAGCGAAGTCTGTGTGAAAACTAGAACAAGAAACGGCAGAGTTTTGACAGAGCCAGATTCTCTGAATGCAGGGTGAAAGGTCTTGGTATCTCAGCAGTTTGGGTCCAGGAGGAAGTAAGCCTCTCCTGGTGTCCCTAGAGGCGGCTCTGATCCGGAGACATTGTTGGCTGTGCATGGAAATTTTACCAACATATTAACTTGCATTCCTCTTTAATCTCCTTCGTTCTCCTCAGAGGAGGTTTTTGGCAGACTGAAAGCAGGTCCAGGTGCAGGGGTGGGGGGTGGGAGTGAGGGTGAGGGGGACCTATCCAGGGGAAGGAGGAGGGGAAGGATTGTCCTAAGGAAAGCAGAATCCCACTCCTTCCCAGGTCTGTGAGTCCTCCACAAAACTGGCACTTTGTTTCTTCTTCTAGACTATTCCAGACGGTGTGACAGGACCTCATATTTAATGATGACAGTTTGATGCTCAGGACTTTGTGACATGGGTCCTTGGGGCCAGACTCAGTGAAGACCCTCCATAGCATGTGGCCCTTTATGGCGGGAGTTGAGGAATATGAGCCAACTGTATCCAACAGTTGGTACTCAGAAACTTCTGGGTGTTACCTCAAGGAGGAGCCAGGCTTTGCAACTACATGTGGAAGCTTGACAGTGTGAATTTAGTTACACCCAAGCGGGTGGAAATACTCCCATGAATGAATGAATGAATGAATGAATGAATGAATGAACTGCCACCAAGCAGGAAGATACCTTAGAGGACAGCCTTCCAACACCAAAAACAAAACCCCAAATCTCTGCAACATGCCTGCTCTCAGGGACTATTTGCCTGAATGGGGTGGATTAGCTGCGGGAGCAGAGCTATCCCAATGCATCTGTGCTGAATACAGTGAAGTTCAGTTCCTGCTCGGACAATCTTGGCACTTCTAGACTGGCTGATGTGGTTCACTGTGGCTCTGTTAGCCTCAAGCTGATCAAGTACATCTTGAACACACTCTCAAATCACTCAGGTGAGGGCAGGAAATGAGACATCACCCAAGGAAGATGTTCCCAGGAACTAACAGGCTGGAGAAATCATTGACTATAGATAAGAAGTGAAATATGTCCCCAGGGGAAAGAGAGGACTGGGGTCGGGGGAAGCTGTTCCAATCACACTGGAGTTTCCAACTCTAGGCGATTCATTCTTCGTTTACTTGAAACAACTTTATTGAAGCATGATGGACACCGTGAGTTAAC